ACAATTAACGTCTATAGACGAAGTAATGTGTCCAAAAGAGATATCTTAAAAGTATGTTGACAAAAATTGATATTGATTGAAAAATTGTAAATATGAATTTTGTCAAAACGGCTCGTCGTACGAGTGTTAATAATTCAGCTATATTCGTTCTTGAAAATGGCCACATATGCAAAATAGTTTCTGCGTAGTGATTTACGAAGATGAAAGTCAAATCAAAATCTGGCTCTTTTAGAAAGAACTTTATGGATTGCAGAAAACGCACAAAATTTGCAGTTTACAAATTACACTGTAGAATTAGGATTTCAATAATACCGTCATGGCGTCAGGTAAACTGGACATCGAATTTGACTAATTAATACGTTTATTCATTGCCCGCTCAACTATCTTGTAATGTATAAACCATTATCGTTTTTTCCGATCATAAGAATTGCTAAGTAACGAGAATGATTGTACTACGAAGTTACGATCCCGATAAGTCTAATGAGGCATCGAGTATGCTTGACATCCAATGCGATTCGACGATCATGTTTATTCATCACACTATTACACACTTCATCTACTTGCGTAACAAATGAGTCATCACAGTGAACTCTTTTCGTTATAATTCTACACTTCAATTGTTTCAATCTGAATTTAGCTGTTTTTGACGAGTGTACTCGTCACATGAAGAAATGGCAATATTTTGTTATGACGAATATAGCCGTCGTGCGAAAAAATTTGCTGTTTAGATTGCAATTTTAGTGAGAACTGGAACACATTCGTAAGTTTTAAGGATCAAGTTTAAGGTCAAAACAAATTGAAACGAACAAATAGAAAATATAAACAATTATTACACGAAAGCTGTATACATAGTGTTTGGATTATGTAATATACTCGTCATTGCTTACCTTTTGCGACTCATTTTATATACTCACTTTTCAAAGAGGTTGCAATAGCTAAGTGGTTAATAATTTTCACAATATAACGAGACAATTTTTGTTCCTTGCGTGTCTTCATTTACTTTCATTCCTAGATTTTGATAACAGAATAGTCAAATTTTGTTTCACTTTAGAAGAAATAAATAATATCCGTGTTTAGTAGATTATGCATCGAATCTGCATCACGAGTCTAAGTTGTTATAGTGCAAAGAGTGAAACCCGACGGATTTTGCGACCTTAAAATTTCGTGACTGTTACTACGACTTTGTGAAATGTAGGATTCGTTGAGTTGGTTTTGTAAAGGATCGTGTAAGAAGATTGTCTGTACTGGAACATCGCTAGGTGATGCTGAAAAGAATGGTCCATCTTTCGAAACTCGTGAGGTGCTAGTGGCGATATCTAGCGGGTTTTGCTCCATGATTACGTGTGGACAGGTAAAAGGGTTCGCAGGTGGCTATCGGCGGTTGAACTTTTACCAGCGAGAACATGGAAACCCTCTAGCGACAGAACCAAGAACATTATCCTACCTATTAGGTCATGCGTGAGGTTTAGGTCGCTTAAGGTTAAGCGCAACTTTATGTTGAAAATAAGCTTTTATTTCGAATTATTTTGAGGTTCTATTTATTCTATTACAAACATATCCTACCTTTTTCTATTCTTGGTAAAAGTTCCCTTCGTTTCAGTTTATGAATCGTGCAACATAAAAATTGAGGACGAAACCAACAGCTTTTACTTGGTCTCGGTCTTTTCAGTTCTACACAATTTTTCAACCGAGACGGAAGTTTCATTTAATTGAATTAAAACATTTGAAATGTGTTTGGAGAAGGGGTAAAGTATGAAGGAAACGGTTGTTCAGAATGACGAACATCGATAACATATTTCGAGGCCAAGGTTATCGAAGCTGCCCTCTCTAAACATAACATTTACGCTCGAGATATAAACGACAGTACTTTTGCATCAATATTTTCCGTAATGATATATCATATATCAGGTCATTGAGATACAGTGACTACCATTAATATTTGAACGCTTTTTAAAACGCAATAACTTTTTTAAAACTAGAGTAAACAATTTGAATTCTTTTTTTTAATGATAGAGGGACTAGTATACTAGACAATGACTAAACTACTTTGTTACAATTTTGCTATTACTCGAAATGACAAAACAAACTGAAAGACTCTCGTTTTTTAACTTTTTTATCTGAGCCTACACAATGAAAATTTAAAAAATGTATTTTGTAGATCTCGTTAAATTATATGCCTGCTGAAAATTTCATCGAAATCTGTTAACGCGAAGTTACAAGTGTCAAAAGATTGTAAAAATTGCAAATTTCTCACACTTATTGATCGAAAGTGCAAAAAATCGGGACAAAACTGCGATCTTTGCGATCTTTAATTGTTTACAGCTCATACCAAGATCAACCGATTTCGGTGAAATTTTTAACATGCGTGTAACATACCAAGATTTACAAAACACATTTTTTAAATTTTCGTTATAAACTCAGATAACAAAGTTAAAAAACGAAAGTTTTCTATCTTCCATTGTCATTCTAAGCAATTGCAAAATTAAAAAAAAAACATTCTAATTATCGTCTGGTAGACTGATCGCTCTATTATCTAAAAACAATTCAAATCGTTTAGTCCAGTTCTAAAAAAAGTTACTGCGTTTTGAAAAGTGTCCGAATATTAACGGATGTCATTGTATGTAACTAGCGATGTTTGGACGTTGAACCAAGGAGAGACGAACGTGATACATATGTGTAACATGCGTAAGTACGATGACGTAGATCGTTCAGGAATAATATTTACAGAAAAGGTAGAATCAAGGAACATGTACAGACAATGATTTACGACCACAAAAACGAAAAATATTCGAGTACTACAATTAAGAACTACGGAAGCCAGAATTGATTTGTTTTCAGTTAATAGTAAGAGTCTATTGTCCCTTGCTCAGAAGTCCGCCGTTTCGACAGAGGGAGTATTCCATTCGCTCCATCTGACCTGCACTCCCGATACCACTTCTATTGGTAAACGAGAAGATTACGGTGGAATCGGTTGCCCGGCCCACCTAATCGCGTCTCTTGTTCAGAGCACGTAACCTAGCCAATAATAATCAAAGTCTGGAATAAAAAAAAATTGGAGGGGTTAGGTTAGGAGCGGGCGTCCGATTCCCATTGCCCTTTACGTCATTCAGTTTATACGTAGTGTTTCATTTTCTCGTTTCCCGATATTACCTTCAGGTTCTTTACGTTCTACGTTTACGTAAACGTAAGATATCATATGATGCAACTTAAATATAAAAAATATGTGGATAGTATTGCAATAATATAATATTATAATAATAATATATTATAATATAATTTAAACAAAGTAATTATATTATAATATATTATAATATAATAATATATTATTATTATTATATTATTATTAATATATTATTATTATTATATTATTATTAACACGTTAAGCGACAGATTTTTCGTTCTTCTATCGCGGCGCGTGTGTCGGTCCTTGCTATTTGTGAAACTGAACATTTAAATTATGCGATATCGGTTTTTGTTTGGTCAATGCTTCAAGGAATAGAATAGAATACTTATTTATACGCCTCGAAGCATTCATTGATTGCTTTTTTATCTTCTACCAAGGAGAAGGGACTATAAGGATATAAACAAAGTATATACGTAGTATTTATTACGATCAGAAAATGACAGGCTCTCGAGTACAGTTTATCTGCAAGTGGAAAGATAAACATACGAAGACAAGCTCCGGTCCTCAACTCGGGTTACGTTACCCGTTATCTGTCTATACTCTGGCGCGCTGCCCGGCAGGGCCCGCCTGACGGCTTACTGTGGCTTCAGCGGAAAGGCGCAAAAATTCGGCGTGGCGCTGAACGTGTTAATATATTATTATATTATAATAATATAATATTGCAATAATCCACTGAAAAGAAAGTCAAATTGTTAAGTAGCGATTAGTAATAGAAAATAACCATGTGTTCATCAGAAGAATCTGAAATTAATGCTTTAGGGATAAGTCAACTCTCTTGCATCTTGTATTTATTGCGCCAGTTTCACTTTGATTCGACTGTGCTATGCTTCCTGACTCCCGTCACGCGGCTCGCTCGACCGTGGTCGCGTAAATAATACACACACGCACCCACACAAAGCAGAGGCACACGCGCCGATGTGATCCTAGCCGAAAATGGCGACCACGGGGGAGCGTGACGCTGACGGGAGTCAGGAGGCAATGTTTGTTTTTAATCGGCCGGACTTGAGTCCCACGTTTCGTGGAAATTCCAAGTGCGTGCACTTGGGCTAATAGAAAGGGATCATTTCTGTCAATAAAGGAAACGCGTTTAGCCTACTTCTGCGAAGACGTTAGAATAGGTGGGTTGATGGGGATCGGTCCTACTCTTTTTCAGCGGATTTCTTCTGAGCAACGGTCAGTACACACATACACACGCACACAACACGTTATTGTTCCATATCGCGGTTCGTTCAGCATGACCAAGGTCACGGTGAAAGTACGCTCGTGGCCGTATTCGAAAAGATATTGGTATACGCGTCGGGAACGATTTGGGACGATTATCAGTTGCCGTTGGGGAACAATAAGAGCAGAACACACACTATCGTACTGATTTCGATCATTAGAAGCTCTTCGAAGTGCTCAGTATTTCGAACCGAAAAATGATCATTTCAGAGATAATATGTTACGTTATTTCATAGTTATTTTTATGCGTGTGATCCTTTCTGAAATAACATTTCAGTAAATTCTTCCCAATTGTCCTTCAGCTTGTAAACAAAAATGGAGAATTTGGGGTAATTTGAAATAAAGAAATAACGAGATTTCAAATAGTTATTTATTATTGTTATTTTAAATAAAATTGTTTGCAATATATACATACTATATGTGTGTATACATATATGATCGAATCGAGAACGCCGTCATTTTAACACGGCAACGTGAAAAACAGCACGTCAGTGTGTTTGAAGTGTAACTGTCCCGACAGACTAAGGAAATAGAGCATGCACCCGGAAAACGTATTAACCCATCCGAGTTTTCCTGGCAATGGTTTTTCTTGCAGTGTCATTAATCTGCATCAAAGCTGACCCCTGTTAGAGTACCGGAGGTAAACATCTCAGAGAAATAAGGGGTGACCGGATATACCTGCACCATGATCGTGGAGGACAAACAGTGAGTTGTAGCTATCACTGATACAACGCTAATTTGCCCCTCCTAGACACCTTGCATGCTCGCATGTCTCTCACTTTTTGCGAAGCTTCCCCTATGCGTGACCGTTAACGCTGCCTGGCTGACAATAGAAAGTATTTTGTAAGATTTCTCTTCCTAGTCTTATCGCAACTTACTTTCTGCACTAATATGCTCTATCTATGTATTAACCGTTTTTGCACTCGAAGTTATTTTGACTTCAGAACTAACAACGGGTAATCTCCGATCTGGAAATTCAACAAATTCTGAAACTTTGTGTATATGTAGATCATACATAGATATGTATTACGCAATTTTATTTCTCGCGTAAATTTACTTTAAGGGGTGAAAATAACCCCGAAATATTCGGCTATTTTTTATTTAATTGTTATAATCCCCTCTCAAGCTGTATAAAATGGGAGAAAGGTCTTCGATAATTCTCTAATCGTTCGGATAATTATCGTAGATAAATATTTATTTGTAACTAATCCTCTGTCGATATTTTCAGGAATTAATGTTCACATTTATATAGTTTTAAAAAAAACAATCGAATATAAATATTTCGACCTTTTAAATCTCTATCGATTATTTGTTTATAACTTTTTACAATCGTTTAAACAATTAACAAATTGCTTTTTTTTCAGGCACTGTATTTGTTTCAACAAAGTTTCTATGTATATAGGTGTAACAAAGTTAAAAACAGCTTGCGGCGTTCATTGAGAGAAGAGCTCGTTCGAACCGATGATGCAACATATTGTATTTCTATGAGGCAAGGAACGCGTCTATCTTCCGTGTGTATTTTTAGGATGACGACATTGGGTTTTTTTCGGTGGTGCTATTTTTACATGCAGAAGTATAAATGATTCCTCGGAAGGCACTATAATAAAATTGAGAAAACAACACGTGTTTCTTCAGATGTTATCGTTTACGCGGATGGAAGATGCACATGATAAACGTTCAAAGTTCAAGCACGATTTCGTTAGAGATATATCTTTGCTCGCGGACCGTGTAATTTATCGGTAATCAATGATGATCGGAATTTTTATTCGAGGATCTTGATTGCTAGCATTGCTATTTGGGATGTTTTTTCTGTTTCTTTGTATTCAAGGTCACAGTAAGAACCTCTTACGTCGATCTTTCGCACGTCATGCACGAGGTGAAATTGTAAACTGTTTTGTAATCCTAATTCGAAGGCGACAATACATTTTCATCGAGTTCAGGATAAAATATAGTATATTCGAAACAATGATCTTCGCACACATTACAACAAGCGAGGATGTGAAAAATTGATTTTCAATTTTGCTCGAAAAATCATGTTTATAGAGAAGTCTGTGTTTTCTTCACGCTTGTTACAAGGTTGCAAAAATACCGCTTGAAATCGTGGACGTAAAATGTGGTCGAGCGTGGCGTTATTTCGCTGGTTCAAAAACACGCTCGTGCATTGAAATGGCCGTCAACGATGGCCTGGAAGAGCCGTGAAAGATGGCCGTCAACAGTGGCCGACAAGAGCCTGTGCGGAAGATTCGTCCTGAAGCGTACGAGCTTCGTTTCTGTTGTGCTTCTTCTTGGTTTCTCGTTCTGTGTTCCTTGTAGGTGTCCGATGAAGTTCTTGTGGCTCTTCTTCCACGTCGACTTCCAATCCCTACCCCTTGGAGTTTTCAGCACGATAGGAACTCCCACCAGCCAATACGGACTTTGTTGGACATACCGCCCCCAAAAAATAGAATGTCCGGGGCCTCTGATTTTTGCCAATTCCGCTGGTCTGTCCTGGGGCCCGTGTGTGCACTTCATGTTCCAAGGGATTTACGATAGCCAGGGGAAAGTCCAAAGGTCCGATTTGGAGTTTTTTCATGTTTACGGTGAAGATAACCGTAATTACCGAGAGGGGCGGATCAAGTCTCATCCGGTCATAAATGAAAAGGCTTAGGATTACAAACACTTAGAATCCTAAACAAAACGTGTTCGATGAAATATCTCGGAAAATATTTACTGTTCCAACAAAGTATTACATTCGCTGAAATACTCTTATTCTTTTTTCCAAAAATATATAGTATGATTACGTTTCAAGCTTACAAATCTACAATTAAAATTTTCAGTTTATCTGTACTAGTTACGTACACAGGATGTAAAAATATAATTTGGTGATAAAAACATACTAATCCTTGATTCAAGGGTGAATCATCAAGGGTTCCTACATTCGAATACGCGACAATAAGGACACGGAGGTTGTCAGACTCTTACTAAAATATACTTCCTACAAAATGAATATTGTTGAGGATTGCCCAACCGGGGTTTATGGCGGTCCTCAATGGCTAGGGTGTGGGCCTATCACCCTGATTTTCGAAACGCCATTTTCTGGCCGTACCAACGCACGTAGTCGACAGTTATCTATTTTAGGCCTTCATTGTTCTGCCATAAACGCCTGGCCCTGGGCTCGCGGCCCGGTCGTTTGCGCGGTTGGGACCCGAATTACTCAGCGCGAAGTGCTTACAGATGGGGAGGATTTCCAAACTTTCCCTAAATTTTCGAACCCCTCTGGAGGCGTCCATAGTACCCCCTCCTAAGTCCCAATAATCATTGTTTGAGCAGTTATCGCACTGTTTCGAGCCTGCCGTGATTGGTCAGCTTCCTCGCTGCCCACCCCTAAATTAGGAAGTGTTGTGAGGACCGAGGTGACCTGCTGGATGGAACTCGGTCCTCTCGTTAGATCTCACCTGACCGGAGTTGAGTCGAGAACCATAGATTCTGAACAGCTCTGCCCCGAGTTGAGTCTAAGTGAAGTGAAACTGTCAAGATTCTGATCCGACCTGAGCTACCCTGAACGATGACGAGTGCATCGAAGATTCTAGTAGAACCAAGGTAAAAATTTCTCGGACTGCTATTTGTTGGAGTTTTCGGTCATCGAGTCCACCATTTACTTATTCGGACGTTCTCGGGGACGTCATTAGTGTAAATTAGTCGGCACACGAACGTGCAAAATACAACAAAAGCTCGACAGATCTTAGGATCTACCACGAGCACAAATACAAATATATCAGTTTTTATAGAGAAATTAAATATATAAAACGTATTGCACATTTTGATTGCAAATATTTCATAGTCACACGTAGAAAACTTTAAAGTAACGAAGAATAGAACGGATTAATAAGCAATAATACTTTCAGTAGAGTCTGCCAGACTCCGTGTCCGCAATTTAGGGTTAATTATACATTTGAAATCATATTTTCAAAATTTAAATTTCCTCTTGAAGAAACGTACGGACGTAAATACTTTCTGAGATACTTGTTCCAACATGCTTTCAACCACCAACTGGGAGGATTGCAGTGATTTGAGTCCATGTTACAATAATCTTGGATTCTGAGGAATTGAAAACACATTATCTCTTACAAATACTATAGATTAATGTCTTCAGAAGTAGGAAAATTTTGTTAGTGACTGGATCTAGCATAAATTTGAAGACCGAAGCTTCTTTTTTATAACAACCAAGGAATTGTTATAAAAACAAAAACATAGTGCATGTTATAAAAACCTTAAAACATAGCGCACGAATTTTGTTGGCTGGTTCATGATGTATCGTATAATATTCTAAAGTTGACAGCACACCTCTTCTTCAAATGAAACAACGATATAAAATCGTAGATGAAGTGTAAATCGTAGCAATTGTCTTCAGTCTACCATCAGTCGCATATTTGAGAACCAGAAAAACGATGAAAATATAATGTTCAAATATAGGTGTTTTGCAATTCAATGAATTCTTCCGTAGAACGTGCTCACCTTCTTGAATTTTGAATTTACTTTCTGTACATTCGCAGATCTTATGCAAGGTTCTGTAAATCAAATTCCTATTAAATATTAAACTCGAATAAAATTGTGTAAGTAATGATCGCAGATTAATTACTTGTGACGAAGTTTATATTAATTTCTAAATAAGTATATAAATTCATATAAGATCTAAAAATTGAATTGCATTTTATAAGAACTGTAGGGATGAATTTGATTTGCAAACATACGAATATGAGCTGCAAAAGGATCAATCTTGTGTGCGACGCCTGTAGACATTATCAATACAAGTTCCATGTGGAATTGTTTACCAACAGTACGTAAAAATCGTCGTGAGTCACCAGTCTGAACATCTTTATAATTTTTACGGGTTCGTTAGTCCGGGAGACGCATAATCTTCGGAAAAATATTGCATTGACTTTGTACCGCGTGTTTGCAAGACTTCCTCGTTAAGTAAACTCTACATATGTATACTGACGGATACGGCCTTGGGCATGCCGGTATCTTGCGCTGCAGCCGCCGCTGTATCGGATGCGAAGTCCAGGAAGCTATTGTTCGCAGAAATAATTGAAAACGACGAGGCTCGGTCGTAGTGGAGACAGAGACATTGCCCTTCGTTTGCTACCATAGAATAGTAGGAGGCCATGTGCGTGACACGAGTAGCTCGTTATGCTGCCTTCAGCCGCGCTCATCGTGTCTGCCACGAGCCTAACAGGTTCAAAGTCCGTGAAGATAGTCGAACCTCGTGTTAGACGTCTGCAGCAGCGTCATCTTTTCGGTCGCTAGCAATCTTCGGCGATCCTACACTGTGTCCAAATGAATCATCGCTTGACCCTACAATGAACTTTGAAAACGAACTTTAGAAATCCAGCAATTCCATCGCATAGAACGTTAGCTTTTGACATTGCGTTTTGTGAAACGTGTCTTATTATTAACGTTTCACTATTTTCTAATATTTCTCCGTTCAACTGCGCCATTCGGTCGCTTAACCTGTCAACCGGGAAATTAACGTTTGTTCAACTCGTATCACAATGGAATCTTTTCCCTTCCCAGTGAGAAATTATACAATCACGCTTCTATTGAAGAAAATCGCTTTTCACTTGTTGATTGCACATATAGGTGACATAAGGTTATTTTAGATTATTTTAAGGTTATATAGATCGACATAAAATTGGACACAATTTACAAATCAAATATTCCACTGTACAAAGAATTGATACAACCACGAAATAATGATTTCAATTTCTATTAATTCTTTGTTCATTAGAAATATTTGATTATATCCTGCTATTTGTTGCATAGTTTTCTTTATTATTAGTCCTCAGTCTTAATATTTATCTTACCTGAGATATTTCGTGATACTCGGTTAACAGGTTAGAAAGCTGTTTGTGAACAAAAGTGACTGTTAATTATACACCCCTGGAAAAATGTGTAAATCGTTTGAAATTTTAATCATCAATTGCTTTCAACGTATTTTTAAGATTACTCTATCTGTACAAGTCACATTTTCTATAGAGCTCAATGAATCATATGAAGATTCAAATTAATTATCAGAAACCTGATAGATTGTTAATACTAATAATAATAAGATTATTTATACTCTGGGTCAAAATGTGTCCAGTGTTATACGTGTTAATCTTGTTCGTATATTTGACGTGAACTTTGGTAATATACAGGGTGTCCTAGGTTTTAATGTTCAAACTTTGTCAGTATATTCTATGGTACAAAGTAAGAAAAAAATGTTATGCAAACATGGGTCATATAGAGCTTTATTAAGAAGTTATAAGAAAAATGCGTTCAATCAAAAAAAGGAGAATAGAAACGAAATTCGCACGGTCATAAATTCGATCTTCGATCGATGTCAATCATGTATTTGTCAACAACGGTAGATATTTTGAAATGTATTAATAAACACAGCTTACATAAACACACGGCATGTGCTGATCTATTCAAGCCAATGCTCGCAGTAACAGCAAGTTGATTACTATTCCTATTCTGAATTTTTGTTATAACTTCTTAATGAAGCTCTATATGACCTATGTTTACATAACATTTTTTTCTTACTTTGTGCCATAGAATACACTAACAAAGTTTGAACATTAAAACCTGCGGACACCCTGTATATACATACTCGGTGAAGATATCAAATTCGTATCATTTTGTCAGCACTTCTCACAAATAATTATCTCCAAACATTTTGTTTGCTATGATACTTGCAGAAGCGAAGGTTCATGTATCCTCGCGCGGAGGCACAGTGCAATGTACAGGTTGTCCTAGAACAACGGAATCGACGGTTGAACAAGTATGATAAACATTAGCAAACGTTTACCGTTTATGATAGAGCTATTAAACAGTTACGAGTTCGTTCGGTTTTCTTCGGACATCCGGTATAAGGCGGAGAGCCTTGTAACCACGGCGGGAAGCGTAGCGTAAAAATTGACGAGAATGTGAAACGTGGGATTCATAACTTCTCATTACATGATTCGTTGGAACTCAGGAAGCAGGTCTTCCTTTTCCTCTGTCTTGTTCGAGGAGACACCATTTCCGGAAAACCGTGTGCAGTCACCAGGTTTCCCGCGGCTGCGAAAAAATTCTGGAACCACAGGGTTGGTCGGTTTGGTTAGACCGTGGATTCGTTGAAAACTCTGGCCTTCGGCTGTCTCGTGCAATTGCCCTGTTAAGGAAGATACATTTCTTTATGCGCGCAAGTGATACTTAACCCGGTGAATGAGCATTTTCTAGACCGCGGAGCATGCTCCGGACTGCTGACTCACGACGACCGGGCTCTTAACCGCCACAGAAATAAAAACGCCGCACGATTTACTATTTCCTGCGAATTACGTTTACTCGTTGGTAGAATGAAGAGGCGGCCGTATGTCGCGCGATGTAAATACATTGACAGGGAATGTCTGTGAATCCGTGGGATCTCAATTATGAAACTTTGCACGTAAATAGAGTTGGGCATTTTATTCGAGCGGCGGATAAGAGATATGGACTAATTAAAATATAGTATAGTAATATACTATATATATAGTATATAATATAATATAAAAAAAAATAGTATAAATAGTATATAATATATAACATACTATATATATAGTATAATATTTTTTTTTCTGTTCGATATTATCGAGTAAATTTTAGTCTAACTAAAATATAATATAATATAATTTTTTTTTCTATTCGAGTAAAAATTTATCTGGATAAAAATTTATCCGTATAAGATTTCATTCGATCGGATATTTATTCGATGGTATCGAATAAAATTCTCTCTCTATTGGTTAGCCTTTTATCTTTTATCCGTCATTCGAATGAAATTTTGCCCAACTCAGGTAGGAACATAGACGACCGTAGTGCCAATAATTATCATTAAAATTGAAATAACTCGAACAATGATAAAGTTTTCCAGGTGAAAATGTTGCTGTAGTTTGTGTACACCACGTACACAATTTTTTTTTCATAGAAGAAACTCTTTTCAGTGTCAAAAAAATAAGTTGGCAAAACAATTTGCATTTTCAACATTTTATCTGGAAAATTAGCGGAAGGTTGATTTTCGCCTGAATGCCTCCCCTTAAAACTGAAAATGACGTTCGGGAGTCGTATGTGTTAGGTGCACACGGTGTAAACACTAGTAAATACCGCGAATAGCATGGGACAAGTTGACAACACTTTCTTTCTTCCGTCTCTTATTGCTGCTTTTCTTTGCACGTCCCTTTACGCTTGATATCACACTCGCATGCGGCCCATTCAGCTGTCAGATTGACTATCGAAATGCGTGCCCACAGGCTGGCCAGGACCGTTAAAGTACGTTGTAGTCAGTTGACTCTATTAAATGTTACGATTACGAAATAGCGTGATCGCAAATTGGACCTACTGGCACGCAGAATTTTTGCACTATGTATGCTCTGATAGATTTGCGGGCTTTGCGCATTTCAAAGAAAAGTTGTCTAAACGGAGACTTTTTAAAATAAATTATTTGTTAGTGTCTCCTTGCACTATGATTTGCTTCATTGGTAAATTAATGTGAACGTCTCTGCCGTTTTCACAGTATTCCGAAAAACAGAGTATTTAACGTTTACTATTGTTTATGTTTCTTCTAACCGTCAAGCGTCCGCAACTGGACAATTTTATTTCTCTTTAAGAGAAATTGATAAACACATGTTTTCGCTGGACTCTGTCTGAAATCTTCATCTAATGTTGTTATATGGATCATTATACCAAATTAAAAGTTTTCTAACTTAATCGTTTACTGTATTTCGATGGGTCTGACACGTGACCGAGATTTCTAATAATAACCTGTTAAGTATGAACATTATTCTGTCATTTCAATACTTTAAACAAATGTTAATATTTAATTGTTTACGTTTGTATAATTGGATGTTTGTATAAACGAATTAAAAAAATAAGGAACTGAGTTTAAGAGATGCTGGATAAGTTTCGCTTAAATAATAATTTCGAAAGAACTTGTTACAATATATTAACTTAAATAACTTGATGGATTGCGAATAAGATTATTGTAGTTTTTGAACAATTTTGAACAATTTCCTAAGCAATTCTTAACTGTCGTTAACAGTCAGTAAATAAAATGTTAAGTCGGAATCAAATTCTTGTCATAGGTGTTTGAGCACTCAAGCAAATGCAGGCACACAATAAATATTTTTAATTCTCTTCTAAGAGACTATTACGATCGGAAAAGCTGTAATTATTATAACGGTGAAGATAATGGTACGGCAAAGTGTTAATATCGATAAAAATTAATTTTCTTTTATGATTATTCGAATGGACTGGAGATAATATAAGTGACGACATATGTAAATTCTTTTATTAATATCGTTACTATTCCGTGTCCGTTTACACACGACCAGTAATCGCGCAAAGAATACACAGAAGAAGCTCGTGCTATTGTATGTGTATCGATTGCAAAGATCAACGATGCGTCCGTGACGGAAAGTTTTCCTGCAGTTGATGCCGCAACTGATCGGTCTGGTTGCATCGTGATCGCTATGTGGGTCATCCTGATCCGTGCTAGTTGAGGATTAAATAAATGTTAATGGACGAGACTTGCAACGTACTTTAACCCTGCGATTCTGTTTGTCGCAGCAGCGCTGCCTGGCTGCTGTTGTTTTGTTGAAAGTGGAACGTTTGATCGTCGATCGACAATGTTGCACTGCTTACACAACGGTTACACATTCGTAAAAACTTGTTAATGTTTTGCCAGCACCGTTGATCACAGTCAAGGACTCGCTGATATTGCAATAGCAACATTGCACACGCAGTTACTGGCCGCTGAAAGTTATTTCCTACAATTTTGCAATTTCGCAATGATTTATTACAATTTGTTCAGTATTAGTCATGCTTTCATAGAAAATAGATTAAACTAAACTCGAAACGCTATTTATCTTGGTAAACGTTAACTCACAAATTCGCTTTGGCTGGAACGAATAACCCTGAACGACTAACATTTTTTTATGCTATATATATAATATAAATAATATATATATAATATATACAATGTATGTGTCACATATGCTATAACAACTAATTCTTCTATGTAAATAATATAGTAATATATAATTTTGCTATAATAATAATATAATATTATAATAATAATAATATTCGGCTGACACAGCACAACAATGTTTATTGGGCTGATCATATGTTTTCGGTAATATATAGCACCGATAAGGTATGTGTGTATAAATGAATTTACCATAATGATGATTACAATTAGCTAATGGTGTAGAAGCCGGTGACTATTTTAGTATTCTTGCACGCTGCACGCAGTTAATAATTTTTAACATCGCCGACTGTTTGTGATATAATTCGGAAACCTTTATTCAGAGGCACAGGATTTACCTTCAGGAAGCTGGAGAAGACAGCGAAGGATGGCCAGCATTAGTGGCAACGTTAGCAAGACAGCCAAGGATGCCAGCATTGGGGAAAAGTGATTTTTTTCTAACACTCTGCGTCTTCTTTCCAGGGAAATGGAAGGCTTCTGGATTGCCAGCGCGATCCACGCGATCAAGGCGCTTTCCTACGTGTACGACTTGCTGACGTTTCCAGTCTACCTCATATTGCAACGACCCTGGGAGAAGAGGAAGGCTTCGAGGAGAATCAAGGCTCGTCCCGTCGCGAAGGATGAGCACAGTATCACCTTCAGGAGCGTTGACCCTCCGAAGCGGATGCACGTTGCCCTCGAGCGTGAGAAGATCGACACGCTCGAGAAAATGTTGTCCTGGGTCGCGAAGTTGCATAGCGACAAAAAGTGCTTCGGGACCAGACAGATTCTCGCGGAGGAGGACGAGGTCCAGCCTAACGGTAGAATATTTAAAAAGGTACCAGCCAATGATCACTTTATTTCTTAATAAAGCAGGTTTATATTCTCATTTATTAACACCTTTAATGATAGAAAAGACACAGATTTGAAAATTAGTTCTTACGCTACAGCTTTCTAATTCTATTAGAATTCGCAAATTATAGGAATTTTTCTGAAAGTAATGGATGCTATGCAAATTACCTCCTTAATTTTCATACTTGAATTTTATGAAACCTGTGAGATTGTGGCAGTCAACCTGCTTAAACCGGTGAAAGTGAAACCGTAACCAAAAGTATATAAATAGATAGAATTGTAATTAATTAGTAATACGCGTCCTCTAAGATTAGCTGTCACCTGTCAGGCACCTCAAGTAGTCTATCAAAGAAACATTTCACACAAATGTTTGGCCATTAACTACACACAAAAATGGTAGGCAGATTTTAAAGATGGTTAATGCCAGAGAATACACCCTGCATAAATAATTGACAATTGATAATAAGGATTTATAACTGATTTGCATTTTTTCATTTTAGTATAAAATGGGAGAGTATAAGTGGAAGTCCTATACAGAAGTGGACAGACTCACCAACTCATTCAGTCGTGGACTAAAAGACCTGGGTCTCACAACTCGTAAAAACGTTGTGCTCTTTGCTGAGACCAGGGCAGAATGGATGATCGCAGCTTATGGTTGTTTCAAGCAAAATTTGACCGTGGTTACCATCTATGCGACTTTAGGGGATGATGCGATAGTTCATGGTATCAATGAGACGGAAGTGGATACGGTGATAACTAGTCATGATCTATTACCGAAGTTCAAGCGACTCCTTGAAAGAGTACCTGTAGTTAAGACGATTATTTACATGGAGGATCAACTGAAACCGACAGATACCACTGGCTATAAAGTGAGTTATTGGTGTCATGATGTCAAGATATTCAATTCGTTTTAATGGCAGTCTTTAAGCTTAACGACCACTGTGACGAGTTAATGAGACAATTGATAAATCCGAACGTACGACAGTGCTCAATAAATATTAATGGCGTATTCCTATTATGCATAACGTTTTCTGCAAATTAGTTTACGCCTGCCTTACGTCTTATCTCTCGTGTAATATATGTCAGTATTAAATGTCATTGTGTAACTTTTAAATGCCGATTTTCTGCTATAGAGTATAGGGTATTCAATCGATTATGGATTAGAAACGGTGGATGTGCGGTAATAGCTGTCAGAGACGAAATGAAAAATTTATTAACTTTTGATTGCTTTTTCTTTGCAGAAGGATGTGAACCTTATACCGTTTTCCGAAGTAATTAAAAAGGGCAACGATTCAAAATCACCGCTATCGCTACCCGAATCGAATGACACAGCTATTATAATGTACACATCTGGTTCTACCGGGGTACCGAAAGGCGTTCTTCTGTCTCATGCAAACATCATCTCCACCTTGAAGGCTTATTGTGATGCAGTTGCGATTAAACCGGACGATGTTTTCTTGGGATTCTTGCCCCTGGCTCATGTGTTTGAATTACTTGCTGAAAGTGTATGCCTTCTTACTGGCGTACCAATTGGTTATAGTTCACCACTTACTATGATTGATTCGAGCAGCAAAATACAGAGGGGATCTAAGGGCGACGCTTCAGTTTTGCACCCCACTTGCCTAACTGCAGTGCCTGTAAGTTCACAAAATAATACATGATATTAATATTCGACTTTCTGATTCTATTCTGATCAAATGAATAGACCAAAAAGGCTAAATACAAATAAATTGAGTAATCAATAAATCCTTTCTAAAATTTTTAGCTAATCCTCGACCGCATTTCTAAAGGCATAAACGAGAAAGTGAAAAAATCGGGTCCATTCAGACAAGCGATTTTTAATTTTGCTTACGAGTATAAACTGAAGTGGGCTAAACGGGGGTACGACACACCGTTCTTTGATAAATATATCTTCGGAGCTGCCAGGCAGGTTCTTGGTGGACGGGTTAGGCTTATACTCTGTGGAGGAGCACCTTTATCTCCTGACACACATACTCAGGTGAAAAATTGCCTGTGCGTTACAGTGACCCAAGGCTATGGTCTCACAGAAACAACTTCGTGTGCTACTGTTATGGATGGTATGTAATTTTACAAGTTTTCATTAGACTATACGTCCTTGTGCAGTTAAATGATTTTTTATAGAATGAAGAAAACTTTTAATATTTTATAAGTATTAATTCGTTTAACGATTCTTTTAGCTTGCGATAGGAGTACAGGACGAGTGGGAGCACCAACTACAGTCTGCGACATACGTTTGGAAAACTGGGAAGAGGCTGGTTACAGAGTTACAGATACTCCTGATCCCCGAGGAGAAATCCTTATTGGAGGGAAAAACGTTTCTGCTGGTTACTACAAATTGCCAGATAAAACGCAAGAGGACTTCTTCCAGGAAGATGATCGGCAGTGGTTTAGAACAGGTGACATTGGGGAATGTCATGCCGATGGGTCTATCAAAATTATTGGTATGTTTACAATCATGTTAATATCTTTATAAAAGAAGATAATATTATGAAATCTATTAATTCGTCGACTTTAAATCCAGACCGAAAGAAGGATCTAGTGAAGCTGCAACTTGGCGAATATGTGTCTTTGGGTAAAGTTGAGGCAGAACTAAAAACATGTCCAGTCGTAGAAAACATATGTGTCTATGGAGATGCACATAAGGCGCACACAGTAGCGTTAGTGGTTCCCAATATTTACTACTTGGAGGAGATTGCCACTAATTTGGGTATCACTGGAAAAACCACAGATGAACTTTGCAACAATCCTGTGGTAGAAAAGGCAGTACTGCAAGAACTGGTGGAACAAGCTAAAAAATGTAATAGTTTTATTATAATTTCTATTTCATTAATTTGAGATCAGAAAAACTAAATGTCAGCTTTTCTTCAGGTAACCTTCAAAGATTTGAGATTCCCGGCGCAGTAAAACTGTGCACAGAGCAATGGACACCGGATATGGGATTGGTCACAGCCGCATTCAAACTGAAGAGGAAAGCGGTGCAAGAGTACTACCAGCATGAAATTAATAGGATGTACAATTCGTGATGTCGCGCCAAGTCTTGTAAGAAGTGTAATCGATGAAGCGGTTCAAAATTTACATTTCCTCCTCCAACAAAACGATGATTCGATCACCTTTATATATGAGTTTGTGAAATCGAGGTCGCGAGTCGGTTACAAAGACAAACTTTAGACTCGAAAGATTCTGTGTGTCCAAAAAAAAAGATGTTGCACGGTGTGCATCTCTATTGTCAATTTCCTTTTCGCAATTAACCATGGAGTTGTAATAGGTGTCAGTCGTCGACATCGGTACGCCTATTCGATATTAAAATTACACCTACATTTTCAAGGATACTATTGTTACTAATCCGACTTTTCGTTTCGAGAGATTTTTGTGTAGGGTTATAATTAGAATTGACGAGGAACGTGCGTAAGCGTAACGCACGACGAGGAACTGCAAACTAACATAAATGGAAACTTTGCATAACCTAGCATTCCTCGTCGACAGGTGAAGTGGTCGCTTTTCCTTCCTAAATAATTTTTATGTCTGACTAAAACGATATACTCATTCTTCACGGTGATTCCTCCTGATGTAACTTTGTGGCAAATGGACCGTCGGGTGGCTATGCAATTGTGCTAATTTTGTAAGTTCACAACACGTATGGTGTACTTACCTCAAGTATTATTCGAGATAGTAGAGTTCCATTTTCGCAAAGAGAGAAGGCCGCGACTCTTCGAATAGGCAGAGTAGCTCTATTCTACATTAAGCTATTATATGTATATACAGAAAATCGATCTACGAGTCAGCCTTTACTAATATAATCAACGTAAATGATGCCAGACTTTAGATTTAGTCGGACATGTTTAATTACGCCCTCGTCTGAAATTCGACCCCATTCCGTTTTTATTATGGATATAAATAACTACGATTCGTTCGCCATCCCTTCACCTACTGTATAATATACTTGTCAATACGTTCTTGCCTACTTTCTCAAGTGCTAGTATATCGTGTCAAAGCATCACAAGAACTCTATCTCCCTTCTACTACTGCAGCAGAACGATATTTTTTAAGTGTGTGCGAGAGCGCGTATGCATTGGTGTTTGTTTAATTGCTGTGTATGCTTGCATATATATACATATTTATATATATGCGCTATACATATGTATATATACGTGTCCACAAACGAGAGGATACTAGAATGTACTGTGTGTGAGATTGTAGGAAAGTAAAACGGTATCTACGGAATAAGAAACCAAGCGATTGTTCTATTAATTTCTAATTTTTAGTCTTCCCATTCGTTGTATTAGTCAATTTTCTGACTTGCCAGGTCGTTTCATTGCTGTTACAACCTTTCTTACTCGAGATTCAGAATGATTTGCGAGTCTCGTTCTCATCACACGAATCCTTTGCTGGCAACTGGGTAGTCTTCCCTGAAAATCCCGAGAAATAATAAAACCAAAGTAATTTCGGTCGAATAGATTGATTAACCGTTGCGTTCAATGCAAATTAGATTTTTTCGTTGCGGTCCCGCAGCTGGTTATGATAGCGAATTGTACACCTCAGGGACTTTGTATCATAGAGTACCGAGGTGGTTACGTTTACCGACGGATACTTAGTATCTAAGTATTGAGGCTCGGAACACGCGAGTAAAACCGGCAACAAAACGGTTCGAACGGTTTTACTTGCATCTTGCGACTTGTTGAACTGCGACTGTACAAGGGATGAGAGAATTAGGCGAGAAATAAGAGAGGATAATTATCGACTAGCAGCTGATGCTCCTTTTCCAATCGCGTTGAGAGTTCCTGACGCTGGGCTGAAGTTGTTAAGGACCCCGTTAATGATTTGTATAAATTATTAAAACGCTGTACCATATTAGATAGGAAACTGCCAATTGTCATTTGAGTATGATTATATCCTATTGTTAATTAATTCGTCATTTTATTATGATTACTATTATTATTAATATCATTATTACTATTAGAATTAGTATTTTAATTCTAAAATTATGGCTTACGAAAAACAGAATCCAAAATAAATGTACAGAATTATAGTATACGTAGTAAGTATCATTATTATGATTACTTTCTTGCTTAATTTGTTTTTCGTGATGTATGGTAGGTTCGTCGGAAACTCCGTCAAATACGATATGTTATTTATAAGTAATGTTTGTTAATTTTACAGTCTCGACAATAACATAGCTTTCACGAAAATGGATACCGTCGGTGAATAAAATCATAAGAACTCTCAATCGTATTTTGATTCTTCGATTGTTGCTGTGTTACCTGCAAGAAGACGTGATCAGAGATCCAGTTTTCTCTATTTGTCGAAACTCAATTTATGTATTAATAACTCTTCTTCCTTTTTATGTCCAAGTGTAACTATATTTTTAGTCAGTTTATTTTCAACATTTAGAATATACAGATTAAGGATTACAGTTGAATATTATATAAAATTGCTTCAGACCCCGCTCTTCTGACGCGCGCGCGCGCGCTTACCTCGATTATATTTTTAAAACTATACAGGGTGGACCACGGAACGTGAGCAGCTTAATTTATTTTGCTGCCACTGGTTCGATTGGAAGTTTTTTGAGCTAAAATAATACGATTTAAGCAGAGCTTCAAAATGATGGTATTAAATTTGTTGTCAATTTTTTTTTCCACAGTTATCAAGGTTTTTCCACAGGTAAATCTACAATTTCTTTTTTTTTGTAGATTCAGAAAAAAATTGTATATTACGATGCTTGCCGAATTCGTCTCAGCATTTCCTAAAAGATGGATACAAAAACAATTGTAGGTTAACTTATAAAAAGACTGAAGGTGACTGATAATTCCGGAAGAAAAGAGTTGATAACAAATTTGGTACGATCACCTTAAAGCTCCCCTGAAAAAAATGTATATCGAACCGCTAGCAGCAGAATAAATTAAGCTGATCACATTCCGTGATCCACCCTGTATATTACGTTTGAAAATATTATAATCTTCGTAAGAATCGCATCACCCAGAGAGCAACTATTTTGACGGCTTTGATGGGATACAAATTGGTTAGGACCATTCTATCGTAAAAACTCAACGCAGACAAACATATTATATGGTATAGTAAATTATTTAATATAAGTAACTTTATATATATTACAACGTGTATTAAATAAAATTAAATCTATTCGACAGTATCCGTTAACGAAGACAAGAGTGAAACGTTTCTTTAATAATAATTGTGCTTTGCGGTATATTTTAGGTGACTTAACAGAGGTTGTACATACATCAGTTATTAAAATGCGAGGAAACAATGACTGTTCCGTCTGTTATTCAACTTTATATTATATTTCAGCTATTCCTCGAATTTCCTACGGTAAGTAAAATCCCAATCGCGTCGTTGAAGGTCAATAGATGTACCTTCTTGAACGTTTTAACACTAGGTAGACAAAAAGGATATCGAAACGGTATTTCTAACACGATTTCCTGATTTATTCGTAATAAATGCGCTAGAAGAAATAACGCGCCGTGGTATACAAGAGCGATCTATTCAGTTGGTCATTGCAATAGATGTGTTCAGTATCGAACCACGTCTCGGGATTGATAAATCTCTTATCGTACATAAAACAGCTGCTACTTTCAATAGAAATATTCGAATTACCCACTAAGCGGCCCGAGTCACGAGCACGTTTGCATAACATCGATTAATTATATCGTCTAAAATCTGTCGAGTCGCGACAAGATCTCGTTCCATCGTAGAAAAACTTACATCTTCACAGTGCGCAATGGCGAACGCGCACAAGGAACACCATACCCTATTGCGCTATACATATTATCGTGCGAGCCTCCTGGTGACTCAACTACAGCTCGGTAAATTCGAATTGTAATTATTCGAACTTAGGAAGATTCCGATTTATTTTGGCACGTTTATCAGCAATGGAAAAAATTATGATTCATTTTGGCACATTAAACGGTAGCAGAACAAATTCCGATTCATTTTAGCACGTTAAACGGTAAAAGATAATTCTACAATTCAACAATTAATTTACTCATTAATCGTTAGACTGTGTGGTTTCTGGGCTACTTTGGCCAAGTGTATTTAAATCATCACCTAATTGCTCAATTTTTGACAATTAAATTAAATTAAAAGGGACAACGAAAATATTAATACGTCTACAAAATTTTCAAAACAATATTATCATAAATCGACGAACAAAACTACGAATGGTCGTATATAATACATCGTCAGTTCTGTAGTTATGAGAATGGACCCTCGTGCGAGGGTTAATATTCGAATTTTGTCTAGGGCAGATAGTGTCGCTTTTACTCGAATGTCTAGTCGTTTTAATGTAAAGTCGCGACCAGGAGACTTGTACTCTGTTACAACGTCGCACATTACTTACATACATAACAGGCTGTATCCATGTCTCAACAATGTATAATTCTCTAACAATAAGTACTCGTTAGTCTACTATACTCGTTCTATACAGTCTACAGGCCGCAGTAATCAGATCGAGACCCTGGTACAATCTCAGTTCAGAAATATATTCTAAAGTTTTGGTCAGAATCCTTACGATGTACAGAATTAATTATTACATTGAGACCCTTTTGTACACTGAACGGCTGGCGAATCGTTTCGCATTGTCTCTTCCCGGTGGTGTTGTTCGAAAACCCGTGTCTGTAGGAAACACGTTTGCCGGACGATTTCCAAAATGTCGAGCATAGTTCGGCGGTTGAACTGGAAACGGTTCAGGAGTATCTAGAAAATTCCGTTCCGGAGTCCGGCGCCATTTAGACGTTTTAAAATATTGAATAAGTCTTACAAAGTCGCTACTACCCGCTAGATTTATGAAACGTGTGCATATTCATTAATAAACAAAACATCTCGCACTTTCACCCTATGCGGACGAATGCCGTCATATTGGCGACGTCGGGTCGACGTATCTGATTTCCACAGTCGCAAACGAATGATTTTAATCGCTTCAATGATAATAATTCAGCTCTTCGAGGAAATCATTGTTTTAGGTATGTTTCGTCAGCGAAGGGTTGATCTTTCACGTGTTTCATTGATCGAACACAACTTGCTTCCCTCCGTATATACAATAATCGATTATATTATTAGTTTACAGATTTATAAAAGTATCAAGGAAAATTGATAATACCGATGTAAATATTATCCGTAGATGCACCGTAGTGCAAAATAAAATAGAAACGACATTAATGTTTATTTTCGAATTTGTATAAACCACGGGCATATGAATAATACACTCGCAATCCAGAGACTGCAAAGTTCTGTTTCAAGAGTTGCAAAGCAAATTGTATTCGATCGATCGAATACACACGTACTACTGTGCACAAAAATTACAAAGCCCAGAATCGTTGTCATCTTTATGCGCGATAGTGTGTCCTGACTGTATTGAATTAGTACATTCATCTCACTTACATCTATAAATCTTGGAAAAGAGATTCGACAGTTGCACGCCGAGCTTTTCTAATCACGATCGTCTAAAATGGCTGTCGAATTTAGTATGTCAAATAAGGAGTTATTACAGTAAATTTCCCTTATTGATCCTCAACTTGTACACAAAAATCGACAATTTGGAAAGAGGAGATACGATTATCTTTATAGTTAACGATCGTGAACAACTATAAAAGCGAGCCGCAAGGCTCGAATAATCGTATCCTCCTCTTCTCAAGTGGTCCATTTTTGTGCACAATTTGTGCTCGAATTAGGGAGAATGTACTGCACTTTTATTACGTTTTGAGAATATGCGACTGAAAGAATTCGGTGTATTTCAATGCAGCGACTGTTACTAGACAATGCCGAACATTCTTCGGAATTCGTATATATAGCATTGTCTTCACCGATAAGTAATAAATCTTGAAAGACGTCACGTAGTAAGTTCTGCTGGATGCACACGCCCCTTAGTTATTTCAAAAGGACTCCGATAGCCGCGTTATGAAACGAACACCGGATACTCGTATCCTATAAAACGGGCCAGTCGAGCGAATTCGACGCGCATCTGAAGCGGGAGCCTCGGAAGCGACGCTGCAGAGAATATTGCTGTTTGGCAGAGAGGCTCAGTCATAAATTCGACTGTCGCGCGACTTGCCAGAAGATTTGTTTAAAAATTGACTGCGACTTTTAGACAGCAGCGGTCGCGCAAGAATCTTTCGTCTTTCATTTGCCCTCTTTCGCATCGCGAGCGCTCTCGTTTTGGTCTTTTCGCGAGGATTTGTAATCAGATTGACTTGATTTCACATTTCTATTCTGTTCCTCCGATGTGCTTGTCATCTAGAATCTCTAGACGAAGGTCTTGTCTTATTTCAGTGATCATTGTCACGATTCATTTTCATGCGGTAACGGGGTACGTTTCAGTCAACCCCTTGCACTACGATTTCCTTCACAACTGCGTGTTTAACCCTTTGCACTCGAGTGGCGACTCCGTGGCGCCATTAAAAATTGTTATGTCACGTCTCAAAATAATTTTATTAATCAAATTTTGTTTATATTTAACACTAGATTTATGGAACTAGATTTATGGATCACTAATTTTTTAATTTACGATTATTCATATCGTAAAGATACATTTATGAGTTATTTATTCAATTTATATGTTATTTACGCGGCAAATGTTACAATAACACTTGTTCAAAATTAGAATAAATGTCTTATTATTACTTTTATGAACTAATAAAAAACAGCTGTTTTTTGAGCTCCGTAAATCTAATGTTACAGAGCTGTTGAAAGCGAAACTATTGCATGAGTCACAATATTCGATTTCATATGCATAAAATGCATTAGATCATATAAAATGGAAAAACCGTGGGTCGAAAAAATTCGGCTTCGAGTGCACAGGGTTAATCCCTTTGGATTCCAAGACGCTTCAACCCCAAAATTCTAGGCGTCTCTTCGAATCTGTATTCTTTTTTTGCATGTAGAATTGACCACTTAACGTGCCATATCTGAATTTTCTCGCTGTTTACTAAATACAACACAAATTCGATAACGTAAACGGCTTAAAATCACGCTGATAGAACGTCGACATAAATTAGATCTCTTTGTTTTTCCTGTACATCTAAATTTACTTTTATTGCCAGATACCGATAACAGAAGAATCATATTTCGTTTCAATTTAGAAAAAACGAATAATATTCATATTTAGTAGATTATGCACCTTTGTCACGAGTCCAACTCATCGTTATAGTGCAAGGAGTCAATCTGCCATATAAACTTTCACTGGTAATTGTTACAAAATTCTTTAAGAACGTCGAACAAACCGAAATGGAACGTCTTCACTAAGAGTTGTCAGAACGTTTTCGTATCATGCGATTTTGCAGACGATCTGCGATTTATTAACCCTTTGCTCTCGAGTGGTGACTCTGAGGCACCACTAAAAAATGTTTATATCACATTCCAAAATAATTCTTACATCAAGAAAATTTAGATTTGAAAAATTATTAAAAGTATAACTATTTTATAAGTCACAAGACTCAATTTCATACGTATAAAATGCGCTCTGTTATACAAAGTAGAGGCAGCGTAGGTCAGAAAAATCATTTTAGATTTACAGTTAAAATGGCTTCGAGTGCAAAGGGTTAAGGTTAAACGCCCTCAAGGTGTTTTTCGATGTGTCAAGAAACATACGGACCCTTTCTGTTTGTAAACGCGATGTGCTTCGAACTATTTTTGTTTTATTCGGTACGGGGTGAGTCACGAGGAATGGAACACTCGGGGATGTTCTTTTTCGGAGGAAACGATTTACCATGTAGGGTGCAATTTAACTGATCCGAACGAGGTGAACCTCATGAATACTTTCGGACTCTGCAAAGTGTTTTTCTCGGGCTTCCGCCGTAGTGGAGCGTTTTTGAAAATTCTGTGGAAACTCTTTCAAATGCTTTCGCATGGACAGTTCACGACCTCAAACTACAAGTGCTCGACGGAAGTTTCGAAGTTCCGTTTTTGCAATAATTTAATAACGTAGCAGCGGAAATCAGTGTACAGAAAATGCTGCTGGGTTCTCAGAGATTTCAGTATGCGTCGTTACACGTTCAAATATGAAACGTGAAAATTTGTATTCTTGACTTAAAACATTTGAAGTGATCAACTTTCAGTCCAGAGTATAAATATTGTTATTCGACTTGTTGACAATAAATTTCACTTTTCGCATGTTTCATTAAGGTCTGTGCAGAAAAAATTGTCCACGAGGAGTACATTGAAAAATATGTTGCAGAAGTTTGACAAATAAAATTATAGATGATCCTAAGCGTACATACTTGTATTTCTGTCAAAAATCTTCACTGTTCGAGTGTTAAACGAAATCATGCGCATACGTGGTATTATAGTTTTCATAAGTTGGATGTAAATCTGGAAATTGTTTTCCAATTCTAATGTACGGATCACGAGAAAATCAATTTCCATGCAAATTATCAACGTCGAAGACCTCTTGCGACTTCCCGATAATGATTACATCGTTCTAACTTACATAATAGCGTTCTCTGAACTTCGTCGAACGAGATAGAATAGTTCGGTATTACATTATGAATACGGAAACGCGTTTAGTCAAAGCTCGAACCGGAGACTACATCTAAATTGCGCCAACTTATTTTCCCATCGAAAAACGTAACAGAAAAACTTTACAAATTCGAAGATGATTAAAAGGTTGTCGAACAGTATTACCACGTAAATTCGGTGTCTCTGGAATCATTTAAGCTACATCCCGCGCGTAATTTCATACCTCCGAACCAAGAAAGACATTAATCATTTGTTCCCCGTAATGCATGCCGTAGAAAAACGCTGAAATAATCCCCTTCCCGAACGAGATAATCCTGCGCAGCCGTCGAGGTCACAGATTCTTCTTGTCACACTGTCCACCGACGTATAATGTCGGATTTTGCCATAGAACGCACGTCGAAAAATTGAGATATAACGACATAATTTCAAAAGAGGTTCGTTATATTTTATTTGATGTGTACAAGCCTTCCCGAGGGTCACGCTATAGTCAATACATTATACAAGGAGTCCCAAAATTGTTGTACAAGCGAGAAGTGAGGGGTTCCTCAGGTCGTTTGAAGTAACTTTTTCCTTGGCGAAAATGCAATCCGCGGTTTCGTTTGCGAGTTATTAACGAAAAACAGTGACCAATGAGAGGCGAGCCCGGCTGGCGCGACGCAGCCGAGCCAATGAGCGGAACTGGACTTCGTGCGCTAGTTGGCTGGACCGCCGCGTGTCAGCCGAGCTCGCCTCTCATTTGTCAGTGTTTTTTTGTTAATAACTCGTAAACGAAGCCGCGGATTGCATTTTCGCTAAGGAAAAAGTTACTTCAAATGACCTCAAGAACGTTTCATTTCTCGCTCGTACAATAATTTTGGGACACCCTGTACACCCTTCTTTTTCAAATTGGACGACGTAGCTTGATCAGTGTAATATTAGAGCCAATGGAAATGTACAATGCGCTGACCTTCGGACGACCTTTGGAAAAGACATCTCTCAAGAAGCATGTGCTGGCAATGTTCATCTTTCCCGTAGCGTAATAGGATCAATAAACTATTGCCTTAAATAACCACTGCATCTAATAGGTACATCCGTTTTCGTCGAATATTCGAGCATTCTTTTTTTGGCCGATTTATTATTTAGGCGAGGATAGCACAGTTTGTGGCAGCGGCCAGGTTGAGAACCACCATGTGTCTTGGGAATATAAAATACTCGCAGCGTTACTAATTGATGAATTATGCATGAACGGTTCAGCTGTTGCACAGCCTCCGGTAGAAAAAGAATTCGGACCATAACTTCCAACGTTCCTCGCGGTTTTAATGAAATCTTTATGTAAGAACTCGTCTCTGACACAGCTCTTTCAACGCACACCTGAACCATAACAATCAATTCGACTAAACGGTCTCAATCTTTTGGCAGGGACTGCTCTCATAAAAGAAATCTGCTGTTACCAGCGGCACTAATTGACAATTTACTTGCAAATCAAGGTCAATCTAGTCGCCGCCAAAAATCCACCTACTCCGTCTGTCGGCTATAAATCAGTTCGGTGCATCGCGGATCAACTCCAGAATCTAGACGATCCCTCTTTCGAGTTTGAAATCCTGTTCGCGGACGAGAGCGGCGGCAAGAGGAACGAAGGACGAGGGGGAGGCTTGAAGGACAAATGGTTTCGGTCGATTTTTCGTCCGCCATGAAACGTCGAGTCCGGTCGAGCTGAAACGTAGTCATTAGTCACCGGACGCCCGCGTTAGACGGTGATGTAGTACGCCCTCGGCTTGCCTCTCGATGTCGTCGGGCTGAAGAAGACGCCGGGCGTCGTGGGCTTGTAGGACCAGGTGGCCCACGAGGGCGGCGGGAGCGTGCGTCAGAAGGTGTAGTAACCCTCGTGCCGTTTCCGCCACTTCTCCCGCGCGATGTAGCAGAGCGCGATCGTGATCAACACCGCGATCGTGATCCCCATGCCGATGCTGATCCATATGATCTCTTCGTTTATGCCACTGTATCCTTTCCCTGAAAGCATTCTTTGTCTTGTAATTGTAAGCCGACACCGGCAACCGATTCTCTGTGGAACGAACAGGATATAGAACAGGTGTCTCGGGTACTTGACAGCTTTCAGTGCTGTGGGGATCTACAATTATGGAAAAATATGTATACACGTTGTCTCAAGTGCAATAAATACTCCCTAATTCGCGTTCAGATCGTGTACAAAAATGGACGATTTGGGATCGTAAATACCGATTGTCGACAACTATAAAAACGAGACGCAAGGCTCGAATAATCGTATCTCCTTTTCTAAAATTGTCCATTTTTGTGCGCAATCTGAGCGCGAATTGGGAAGAAATTACTGTACAATGTTGCAAACCCATCCAAGGAGTAATTCCTGTGGTCATTTGAAGTGACTTTTTTTTCAGCGAAAAAATTTTTTCGTAGCTCTGTTAATCAGCCACTAACGAAGAACACCGGACAATTGAAATGCTTGTAGTGTTCGCAAAAGTTTTTGCATGCATTGTATAGCAAACTAGCCATTCCATGATCCCAGAAAAATTCAAATCGTTTCGTTCAATTTTACAGAAATTGTTCCTTCTCGACACGTTAACTGCCGCCGAATATCGATTCCAAAATTTCCCACAATATTAAAAGCCTTCAATTAATGAATCCGAAACTAGTTAAACTAAAGTTACTGAAGTTAGACTAAATTTAAACTAGTTAAACAAGTTTACTGTGGTAAACTTAATTAATTTATTTAATTTAGTAAAATTAATTAATTTAACTCGTTTGCAGCCCAGAAATCCTAGCGACATTCAGTTTCTTTGAATATATCACGATAAAATAGAATTCAGAAATTTACTTAAAAATTCGTGTCACTCGTTTGTGACCGATGCGGCACCCAACGTGTTAAAAAAGGTCTACATGTACTTGTCCACGACTGCCTATTGTTCGGATCTGAAGTTTCCTGTGATGTCATAGTGGTGACGGCTGGACCGTGAATTTTATACATTTATAGCAAAAACGGGTGGCTGAAGCCAGGAATATTGAAAATATTAAATGCAGCTAAGAATATTTGTGTACTAATTACAACTAATTCAAATTATTAAAGAAAGAAAGAAAGGAAGAAAATTATACTCGACTCATCTGTTCTGCAATCGATGCAGACAATTTTCTTTCGGCACAAAAACCCGCCAGCCTAGTCATAGCTGACTGGCGGAACAATACAGGGTGTTCCATAATTATGTTAACACCCGGGAAGGAGTGATTCCTAAAGTCATTCGAAGTAACTTTTTCCTAAGCGAAAATCCAATTCGCAACTTTGGTTACGAGTTATTAACGAAAAACGCTGACCAATGAGAGGTGAGTCCGGCTGCCGCGAGCCAGCCCAGTCAACGAGTGCATGAAGCTCAATTCCACTCATCGGCTCAACCGCCTCGCGCCAGCTTATCTTGCCTCATTCATCATTTTCATCCATTTACGGTTATAACATCGTTTTATTTCTCCGTAACGGTTCCCATCAGGACCATTACAGAACTGTTATTTTGTTGTCTATTGCAATTTCAAGCATCCACTTGGATATAACATAACCTTCGGTCTAAGTATAAATAAAAACATAAATAAAAATTGCCATGGAACTTCTTCATTCAATTATAACTGTTTAAATTGCCTAATATTTTTATATTATAATAATATAGTAATAATAGTAATAATAAATATAGTAATAGTAATATATAATAATATATATTATAATATATATTATAATATATATATTATATTTCAAAATTCAAAAAATATTTATTTTTAATATATATTTATATATATTAAAAATAAATATTATATGAATTTTGAAATTTGTAGAATCACGTTCTGTTTCTTAGCTGTGAGACCAAAAATGATATATTATATAATATATAATAAATAATAGTAATAGTAATGATTATTTATTTTTGGTCTCACAGCTAAGAAATAGAACTTGGTTCTACAAATGTAACCCAACGAAGTTCAGACGATGCTCCGACCCGCTCATTGGCTTGGCTGCCGCGAGGCGGCGCCTCTTATTGGTCAGTGTTTTTCGTTAATAACTCGTAAACAAAGCAGCGGATTGTATTTTCACTAAAGAAAAAATTACTTCGAATGACCTCGGGAATCACCCCTTTCCGGGTGTTAACATAATTATGAAACGCCCTGCATAACAGCACTGGGTCCTATTCCTGAGCATTTTCCTAACCTCAATGCAAGCAGTTGCATTCCAATTTGTATTTTATTACGTATCCAGCAGTGATTCGCGTGCCAATCAGAGCACAGCAATTTCTATTCCGATTTTGCGATTCGAAGTTGTGTGCAGAGATAGAAACCCACTATTATAATTCAAACAGTAGACAATGTCACTTCGACACACGAGGCAAAACTAACGAAATACGCTTAGCAGTGAACGTGTTAACGAGGCAGTTCCCGCGGTTTACGGCTGCGTGGCAGCCCATAGAGTACCGGAAGCGGTTTGATAATATGTTCCGCGGGGAAATATGGCGGACCACTAGAATACGGAATCGCTGCTAGGAAGTTGCTAGAGTTGGATGGTAATGGTCTTCTTCCAGTCGGTTCGTCAAGATGACTGCTTCGAAGCCCGCTTGACGCCCCCGACCGCAAGCAAGTTTTCTCTTGGCTATCTCTTTGATAAGTAGATTATGAGAACCCATCAGCGGGACTTGATCGTGGAGGTGACGATATAGCAGAGGCTCGCTAAGCACAGATGATATCGGGGACGAGGAGTCCGCTGGAGAAGATGGTGACGCGGAGGCTAAGTCCCGTTGATGGCTTCAGATAATCCAGTTAACTGGGAAATGCTCGGCAGAGGAATTTCTTGGCGTCGCGGAGTCAAGTTTGTCATTTTTAAGCCACCGATTTACAACGCTTTCATTAGCAACCGTTTACCCGTCCGCTGTGATTTCTTTAACGATTTTCCCGGGCTTTCTTAAACAGATCACGGAGCTGCTTCGAATATTCACTTTTTTCGACTTCGTCCATTCAGATCAATTTAACCTCCATCCGTTCCTTGCGCCGATTCGACACAGTTTTCGCGGACACCGAAGAAACGATCTGTTCCATAACACGTTTTACTAGTGTTATACCGAACGATGTGAATAATTTGTGTTGAAAAACTTGCATCATCTCACCTGAGGTTTCCATTCTCATAGAAGAAACTTATGGTGTTAAGTATTCATTGTTCCATCTTATTCATTTTATATCGTTGTGCCGGTTTGATATCGAAGGGTAGATTAAACTCAGAGCTGTTCAACAGCTTCCACGTACGAGCGACGATTTTCAGCACAGGGCAAACACCGATCAGAGGGCTCTAGGCCCTATTCCCAAGGGCAACGGTGCCCCCTCCTTAGCTCTTCGCGGATCTTCCCACCAATAACGACACGTTATTTGGCTCGACTGTAAGTTACGTCGAGATTGAGTGTAGCAGAATGAGCATCGCACGATCGGTATACACGGTGTCTCAAAATTACGGTATTTCCCAGGGACTTGACAGGTTCCTGAGATCATTTGAAGTAACTTATTCTTTAGCGAAAATGCAATCCGCGGCTTTGTTTACGAGTTATTAACGAGAAAAGACAGTGACCAATGAGGGACGAGCTCGGCTGCCGCAAGATGGCCGACCCAACCAGCGGACGAAGCCCTCTTCCGTTCATTGGCTCGACCGCCTCACGCCCAGCTTATCTTGCCTCTTATTGTTCACTATTCGTTGATCCCGCTTCTCATTGGTCATTGTTTTTAGTTAATAACTCGTAAACGGAGCCACGGATTGCATTTTCGCTAAGGAAAAAGTTACTTCAAATAATCCCAAGAACACGTAAGTACGATAAGTTCGCTCTCTCCCTTTGTTTCTCAAGTCCTCACTCCACTAAGATCTTTATCGCGTAGCTGTGCCGCGTAGCTTTGTCATTTTTCCCGCCGCGAAGCCTGTCGAACAGCTCTGGTTTAAACTGTAGAAATGACACACGGATGAGGGTTAAAGATCGGTTACATTTAGGGGAACAAGATCCAATGACCGTGACTTTGGCACATGTTATGAAGATCCCTCTCTCGAGTAATCACCAAGAGGATTCTGCAAATGTAAAATTGTAATGACTAATTTCTGTATTCTTGTTGTTTTTTTTTTGTTGATTCTGCAGTCCTGTAGAATAAAGAGCTTACGATAGATAAAGAAATAGATTTTGTGGCATAGTTTCGCATTTAACACAGTTTATGCGGTTTAAAACTATTCTTTGTTACTTTAGTGTAAAGGTTAAGCGTTAAGGGGCTAACAAATTGAATTGACTGATGATTGCGATTAAACGACAGGATTTCATGAAACTTTTAATATCGCCAATGTCGCAAGAAAAACGACAGTAGTCGGCTGAATGAATATGCAGAATTTAATAACACAGTTTAATTAAAATATGGGAAAATCCTCTACGGCATTCAACTTGTTAATATGTTCGTGGGGATAATGATTTTCCAATGGCTATACCAATAGCCATTTGCAGCGTGCATATATCGAACATCTTCCAGGAAATTTGGAAATTGTATTTCGTTCCACAGAGAATATTACATATCGATTTCTGTTAACAATTAGTACAGCTTATTTAACATCCAATGCATGCAAACTAAGAGCAGACTAAAATCTCGGTTCGGAAATAACAGCAGTGAAATTATTTGATCAATATGGTGAATATTTTTACGTATCATTCCATCAGCACAGCTTTTAGCAACAACGTGTATAAAAAGTGAACTGTAAATTTGATGCAGTTTCGATATCCGAAATTCTCAATATTTAACACTATAATCCGGTTCAACGAGTATTGGCAGGAAGTATAAATAGATGCACGCCAGCAACGTGATCAGACCGGGGCCAAAATGTAATTCAATATTAATGTGATATCGTTAATTAATCATTATTGATATTATTACGCAATAATGTAAATTAGAAGAAAAATGAAAGTACAAATTAAGGTAATGAAAACTATATTTTTACGTTTAATTTATCTATTTATTAGATATACATGTATATTTTGCGTTTGAATTAATTATAATTATATAATTATAATTAATAATAATTAGTTACAAATGATTCAGTTAATGTATGGTCTATAATAATAATAATATAATAATAATGTGTGGGGTCTAATTGTCAAAATTGTTGTATTATCAATTTGTATTTTTTATCACAATTATTAATAATATCAATTAATAATATCACATTAACATTGAATTACATTTAGATTCTGGTTTGATAATATTGCTCGTGTGTAGCTGCTATGCGTATTTTTTGCTAATTCTCGTTTACCTGCTACAGAGCTACCAAATCAGTCGAAATGACCGGTTCGTAATTTTTTCTTTTACTGTTACTGAAATCATAAAAATCTTTCTACGAGAAACATTTTGATAATCTTCTTTACTCAAGTTATACAAAGTTTGAAACAATTGCGAAGTTACGTAAAAGTTTCTTTGAGCTTATAATTATGCGGAACCCGTTGAAATCACCGACGATTATTTTATCGACAATCATTTCACCGCCACGTTTAGATCCCTGACAATTATTTCACCGACACCGAGTTTTTCCAACAATAAATCGACCCTCTACTGCGTACATAGTTAATGAAAGTTAATAAAATTTATAATATATTATGTATTTATTTGTTATTAATAATATGAATAAGATAAAATTATAAGTACAACAAACTTTATGAAATAAAAATAATAAGTAGGATAAGTGTAAGTATTATTGCGGACGCCCCAAATACTGCGGTATTTTATAAAAGTAATAAAATCTAACATTTTATTGTGTGTAACCTTCTAAAAATTAATCTCATAATTTTTTATTAATATTAATAATTTATGACATATAAGTAATAGCAATCGCAGTTTTAATTCATTATCGACTTTCGATATTCGGAGTCTTATGAAATACTCGTAATAGAGCAGTTGTGAACGCTGATTCGAAAGGCATTTATATTTTGGTAATTAAGCGTTATTTTTGGATAAAGTAATCATTACTTCGATAAAAAATCGACGTACACTACCACTATCATCTATCCTCTGATATTATTCGCTAACACAGTATTTGGCGCATAGTTTATTTACTATGAGTGTGCATTACTGCGGTGCTTTACTGAACTGCGTACCATAACCTGTACAGTGCAGTTCTCGATGAGCCGATGCTTGATCGTAGAGTACCTATACCTAATTTGTAAAGTGCTACAGTGAGAATATCTTGATTCTAGGTATTGTAGCTAGGTTATGTCAACATTAGCACGCAGTAATCGGAACGTCCGTAGTACTTGGCTCGCAGTAATAGATAAATAACCACGCTAATATATGCACACGTATGATTTTTTTAAATTACGCTTTTTAATGAAATTTGTGCTTTCAGAGATCCAATATTTTGAGAAAAGTAAATATTCAAGTTAAAGAACAATAGGTATAGTTCAAGTTGTCAATTTATTGGCAAGGTTTTATTTTCTCGCAATAATACCTACACTTACCCTAAAAATTATTGACAAGATTCGGTGCCGATGAAGTGACTGTCGCGACGTATCTAGGTGTCGTGACGAGGTGTCGACAAAAGTTTGTGTCGGTGAAATGATTATCGGACATCTAAACGTGTCGGTGAATGGATACTGTCGGTGAAATGCGATGTCGACGAAATCGTACCGGTGAAATAATTGTTGTCGGTGAAGTAACAGTAACCCAATTATGCGCACCACTGTATTAGTCTTGGTCCGTCCGATCGTGACAGTCCAAGACTAAAATCATCTCGTTACAATGTGTATTTGCATGCATCGAAATTGTGTTCCATCTCAGAGTTACTCGACATCGTAAATATGCACATATTGATAGTATTTCGCCGATGGTCATTAGCAAAATTGTGGTCTATAGAACAAGCAGGTTCAGTCGCAGAGACGGTATTACGTCTGAAATAACGATATCAACCTGTTTACATTACCATTATGATGGGAGCTGTAGATCCCGACCTTCCCAGCGACCCGTCCTCCCACCGGCATTTGTTGTCTTTCCCGTTTTGTCACCTGAAACGATCCAGTTTTTCCTTTTAATTGGCGAATAGAAAAAGGAAACGTCGTAAATTGAACGCTGCGGTGACAGATTCTCCTGGCAAACAATGTACTGTACATACAGGGTGTCTCATAATTACCCGGAGAGGGTGTTTTCTGAGGTCATTCCAAGTTACCTTTTCCTTAGCGAAAATGCAAACCGCGGTTTTGCTTACGAAAAACATTCATTGACGAAAAACACTGACCAATAAGAGGCGAGCTTGGCTGCCGCGAGGCGATCGAGCCAATGAGCGGATCTGGGCTTCGTCTGGGCTTCGTTGGGTTACATTTGTAAAACCAAGTTCTATTTCTCAGCTGTGAGGCCAAAAATAAAGAAATATTATTATTATTATTATTATTATTATTATTGTTGTTGTTGTTTTGTTTCAGAAAAATATTATGCAATTTAAACAGTTGTAATTGAATGAAGAAATTTCATGGCAATTTTCATTCACGTGGATGAAGTATTTATACTTAGACCGGAGGTTATGTTATATGCACGTGGATGCCTGGAATTGAAACAGACAAGAAAATGACTGTTGCGTAATGGTCCTGATGGGAACCGTTATGGAGAAATAAAATGATGTTATAACCGTAAATGGATGAAAAATGTTCTGGATTGCATCGGTTCCGGTTTTGCTCCTACGGCCAATTCTGTATCCACTTCGTATCGGTTCTGTATCAGCGAGAAACAATTTAATTACTTATGTCGCGGAAATATATTTTATAGCTTTCATTGATATCTGCACGGTATTATACAATTTGAAATAATATTCTGCACGTTAAACAGGATCGCAATTAGCATAATGAATAACGAAGATCAGCATTTTAACGACACCCCCAATTCCATTATCCACTAGCTACATTAATATTTATCAGCGCAATGGAAAATTATGTTCGAAGCATTGAATATCATTATCATATCTTTAAAAATATCCAGAAAGAAAAAATTGTCTTTTAAAAAAAGGAATAACATTTTTCTGTTTGAAGCTTCGTTTACGAGAAAATCGAGTTTGAGGATTGTTTAGCCCGCACGTAGTATGATTATGTTCGTTTACACTTTCATATTTGTTGTTCTCTGTAATGTTTACATTCCGTCTTTAGCAGTACGGCTACCGGCTACTCGTATTGTTAGTCTGTTGTATCAGTCGAATTGTAACAATGTCTCGCTGCAGCAATCGTGAATACGTTGACATGGTGAAAGCGTTAGGAGCTTGCAATGGGAGTGCAACAGCAGCAGTTAAGTACTACAGGCAAGAACCTTTCACAGTTGAGCCGTTTATTTTGAAAGCGGCATAAGTCACTTTACCGTAATGAAAAGTGGTGATTTTTTAATGTTTATACGAAATTATTTATACTGAGAAAAATATCGGTATCCTCAGATAACAAATACAAGTAAATCTTCTCGAAAGTTAGCATCCATATTTTGAAACGTGTTAGAACGCAAACCCTTAAATATATCGACTTAAAAACAAACTGACTTATGCCACTTTCAAAATAAACGGCTCAGTTAAGGGAAAGAATAATAATGATGTCGCATCAGTCCATAATTCACTGATAAAAAGAGCGAGGTTATGTACACGTCAGCAAGTACATTTTCAACAGTTCACTTAATGCAATGTAACTAATCATAAAACTATTATCCACACATTTTCAAACTCGATTTTCTCGTAAACAAAGCTTCAAACAGAAAAATATTATTTCTTTTTTTCGACTTATTTTCGCACGTAGAATCACCCCTTGCCCGATGACACTACCCGTCCGGTAACACCCTGTATGTTGATGTAGCGAGTGAAGTGCGTGCGCGTTAAGAATGGTGTGGAGAGCGAGATAAATGTGTGTTGCGAGTGCGTGTGCCGTGTGCTGAACGAAGCAGGGCAGCGGCTCGATGGTATGATACAATATCGATTAAGAAGAAACAAATGCGTGCAGCGTCCCAAGCGAGAGAATAAAGAAGGAAGAAGGGCGAAGGTATATAGTCAGCGTCAGCCTCGAAGCATTGTACAATCGAACTTTGCACTAGAATATATTTCTTTCTTCAAAATATATTAAATTGGATGATTCTTCAATCGAGATATCCGTTCGGTAGACTCGCGATACGGAATCCCACAGAGATGTAAACAAAAATTGGTACTTCATCATTTTACTGATTTCGCGTATTTCAGTAATTCCTTTTCTTTGCACTAATCTGTTTCGTAATTGTGGAAGTGAGTGTTGATAAACACAGATATATCCGACGTCATTGCAACCATTTCAGTCCATTTCAATCGTCTAATAATAATAATCTCATAACTCAATCTCCTCTTCCTAAATTGTCCATTTTTTTGTGTACAATTAGGAAGAATTTACTGTACATATCGATTAAGAAGAGACAAATGAGTGCAGCGTCTCAAGCGAGAGAATAAAGAAGGAAGAAGAACGAACGTAACCAGCGTCCAGCCTCGAAGCATTGTACAGGGTGTCCTAAAATTATGGTACTTCCGGGAAATTAGAGATTCCTGAGGTCATTCAAAGCAACTTTTTCCTTTGCAAAAATTTTCTTCCAGGCATCGTTAACGAATTATTGATGGAAAACATTGACCGATGAGGAGTGAACACTCGGTTGGCGCGAGGCGGCCGAGCCAACGAGCGGACGGAGCCTGGTTTCGCTGATTGGCTCGACCACCTAGCGTCAGCCGAGTGTTCACTCCTCATTGGTCAGTGTTTTTCGTTGATAACTCGCAAACAAAGCCACGGATTGCATTTTCGCTAAGGAAAAAATTACTTCGAATAATCTCAGGGACCCCTCATTTCCCGGAAGTACCATAATTTTGGGACTCCCTGTACATCGAACTTTGTACTAGAATATATTTCTTTCTTTAAAATATTAAATCGGGCGATTCTTCAATCGAGGTATCCGTTCGGAAGACTCGCGATAGGGAATCCTATGCACATACATATGCATTCGATCATTTCTTTCCCGAAAATCGGTGTCGGCGGGCTCGGGTAAAATGAGCCTCTCTAAATTCTCGCCTTATCAGAACACGTACACACCCTTGCATTAGAGATAAGGCGTCGCAGCGATCGAATTCTGCAATCTTCGCGCCTAATACCCCTCTGATTTTATTCCGCCGACAGCCTCCGACCGTGCAACGGTCCCGCAACCGGAATATATTCCGTGACTAAGCTGTTTAATTCGAAGTTTAATTCGACGCGTTAACGGGAACCAATTTTGCGAACCTGTTCGCAGATAAAGCGAACGTATGCCGCGCACGAGTCGATCGAGCAAAATGCACCCTCACGGAGGATTTACTTGTTTAAAGCCCGAGACTCTGTGAATTCCCTTTGTGTACCGGCATATTATTAAATACGTAGAACTTCGATCTCGTGCTGTTACCCAACGACAAACTTGGACAAAAGGTAATCTGATTAATGATTACGACCAACGTGAAATCATGTTCATGATACATGATGAGGGTTACCTAAGTAATCAAGTAATCATGATTAATGAATAACTTAAGTAATCGAAGCAAATGTAATTATTGATCATATATGATTAACACAGACATCGTTAATCATGTAACGATTACTTTTTGTTGTTGTTATGATTAACTGAAACATTGGGTATTATGGTAGTTGATAATAATTTTGGATAATTTTTAGAAAATCTGCATGTATTTCATGACTCAGCGGTAGATTTCTTTTATCCGAGTTCATCATCCGGAACCAATGGCAAGTGATGAGGAAAGATAAATTAATCGTTCGTCCGCGACCACAGATTACTAATTAATGATTACAGATTAATTGATTGATGATTGTCGCATGTAGCTAGAATATTAGAATTTTGATTAACTTTTTATAAAATTTTCTCTTGAATTCAACCATTTATCATCCTTATTTTTATTAAACATAAAAGAATTCACAGTATCTAGATAAATATATCTCTAAACCGAAAAAATGACTAGGAACAGTTTGTTGTTTTATTATTGTGCATTCTTAAATAAAACACTATTCTTAAATAGAAAAATTACGTTCACACCGACACAACATAATCTAGGGATGTTTGTCACATTTGAAATTGAAAAATAAGGAAATAATTAATTATATAAAATTGCTATTATTTTAAATGCATCGATATTATTTTTAGTTTGAAATACCAGTACTGAAAGTAACGGTTCGAAATGAATTATTTGAAACAGTAATTTCTTATTTTCATTTCAAATAAAATTTGCCCAGGTTCAATTGTCAGCAACCAGCTATTGACACGCAAGTTGAAAAAGGCTCACTGCTGTTTGTATTTGTCTTTGTTTTGTACTGTTCCGAATGGAGAAACGTGCAACGATACTTGCCTTAAGAATTAAGGTACGCACATACATGGGATTATTGATGGATGTATAAGTTCAAGAGATGAACTAAGCCCACGGTTTGTAATAAATTGTGAATTTCGTTTCACGGTTTCGTGTCTCTTGGAAATTGAACTGCGACATATTGTGAGCTAAGTCGGGAAATTTGCGACGGCGGAAGCTTTGAAACGGAGCACTTCTCATTATGTACTTAATAACAGTTCCTGGAGATTTAAGCGCGGTTCTCCTCGGAGCGAGCTTTTTTTAAATTGAGTGCACGTGTAACTTAATTAATTTTCGAGCAATTACCTTGACATTTTTTTGCGGGCACTACTAATTTGAGTATTAATTGAATGGCCAGGATTTTCAATTTAATAATTTCCGCTTTTTTAATGTTAAAGAGAAGAGTCGTTTCTCCACTGATTAATGGAGTTAGCAGCAGCTTAAAAATTATGCAACTTGAAAAATTCATCTCACGTTTGATATTATTGGTTACTACAGGCCTGGGAAATTGATTGCTTAGGAGCTGACGATACTCGAATCATCACCAGCGTAATCAAGGAAATAAGTTACGCAAGGAGTGAGGGCAGACGGCGCATGAGCGTGAGTCCCGCACAGCGGCGTAGGGCGTATACCGCGTGAACATTATAATAC